AAGTTAGAAACTTCATATCATTTGCCCTGTTGAATAACAATCGGATAGAGTATCAGAATCCAGTTTTTCAGACACATTTAACCTTTCATTGTAGCTAGATTATCATCCGCTATCAGGTGTTAGTAATATAATACAAAACTCTTTAAATCTTACATATCTAGTTAATTTGGTAATCTCCTTATCTCCAGATTAGTCTGTCTAATATTACTCGAATACTAATGCCATTTCCTGGAATTTCTTCCCATCGATTCTTTTTCTGTACATAAATCTATCATTTTGAATTAATATCTGCATTATCATAGTAATATTTCAGTGATAAGTGTGTAACTTTATCATATAAGACTGACGCGACTGTGTGTCAACAAGTAGAGATTTATAAACTGATAAATATAAATGTTTTAGATAGATACTTTTTTGACCCACTTCAACCAAATAATACTTGTATACCCTAAATTACATTAGTGGTCTTGCAGCAAACTTTCATAATTCGCATATGACGTTTTGTTGACTGGATTTCTCTTTAGGTAATATGTCTATCTGATACAGTCCTACAAAATTTAGTCTCTAAGCCTCATGTCAGTAAAATAACCCCGCTACATTTCTGAATTATGTGAATTCCAGGAGCGTAAGGGCACTTGTGGTTGAATATATACATTACTTACAAGTGGCAGCGAGTTTGGAACTATATCATTGACTCTACTGTCGCTCTTCGGTGTGGTGGTTGCGCTTATCTGCAGTAACAGCGGTAGAGTTCCGTGGGCAGTTAATTGTGTGCACTTATCAACATCTCTCACCTGTCGTTTGGATTTGAACACATGTGTCTAACTAACTTAGTCCTCCAAATACCTCACTCGTCCTTGCAAAAAGACTTGAAACGTGGAGAGTTAATACACCCGAAAACTCATGATAAGGCTGTGTTCAGTTGTTTATTAGAAACTTCCTTAGATTTTGTAATCCAGCTCCCAGATCGTTTGGACCACCCAGTTTATTCCATTAAACGCCTCAAGAAGAAATATGGTGAACTTAGAAGCCACAAACATTCACATCTTTATAACAGTATTTGAGTTTATCTCTTCTACACTTCATAATATTTCTCTTAATTTTACAATCGAAATTCTTCTAGTTTCGATTTATCCACGAAGTGGCGTTAGTACTTACGTTTTAATTTCATAAAATGTTATTCTCAGTTATCTGAAATCGTGCTGCAAACAACATTTAGGAGCCATCAATGTAAAAAACCTATATCAATTAAAGCACTGGGATTTATTTTAGTTAGGGTTTTATGATCTATCTCAATGTATACTGTATTTCCGAAACCTGTATTTAATCGCTTCATTTCTTCTCATCAATATGGATGCCCAGCGCACTACATCATTCATGTTTCCAATACTAGATTGAAACTTTTGGTAGTCTTTCTGGTTAAGATATAAGACTGTTGATTGCAGAACAGGCACTCTTAAATTTGATCCTCGATAAAAGTCTTTTATGCGGTGTCAGATTGAATGGGACGGAAAGAAATTGGAAGATCGCACACCATTACTTTTTTGAAGTCTCTGCATACTGTCCCACTAACTGCAGCCAGATAAAGTAAAATAAACGTTCAGCAGAAGAATTTATTTTTTTTAAAAACGTTGGGTTAGGTCGAAAGACCTTAAGACCATTCTTTCAAAGTCCTAACTTAGGGGAAAGATAGCATTGTTTATTAACTCATACGGCCAATTTTTCCAAACACAGGTCAACATGAAGCATAAATTAAGAGATTATCGCTCCTGGGGTCTGCCATCATCAATACAAAGATGAGTGGAAATAGACTACATCGTTATCAGCCATACTTGAAAATGTCCTGCGGAATACTATCACTTATTCTGGAACACATGTCCGTACATCGACTTCGCTCTAGTATTTCCATGAGTTTTACTGGACGTGGAAAAGTCAAGAGAAAAACACCTTACAGCTTAACTCAAAGATAAAATGGTGAAGAATGACTTTCGTTGGTTATGAAGGAATGCTTTATCCCAAAGAAGTGTATCTTGATAACCATGCAGCCGTGGAGACAGAAGTGATGGAAATGATGGTATACAATATTAGTTTAGAAAATTCAAATGGTTAAAGAAACACTTTGAGGAACAGTTCAACTGGCTTCCAGTTACTCACCGTTTACAAACAGTCTAAATGGGAGACTGACATAAGTTTCCTAACTCTCAGCGAACTCGAAAAGATAGTTTTCATCTTCAAATGAGCGAAACTATCAGGATCAAATAATTTAGAGTGTAATATAATTGGTTAACATCTTGATGACTCAAAATAAGATTCGAATTGAATAAGTGATAGTTTATAAAGTTGGTTATTTTTAATACATTGTTATTATAAAATGTATATCTATTATTTAAGCTTCAAATTTTCCTTTCCGAATAGTCTTTGCTTCTTGTTCACTAATATCATGTGTTACCTTCGTTAATTTCGAAAGGTTTGAGAAGTAAAGTACATAAATAGGAATAATCCCTATTTGTTTAGAATGAAAGGTTTATAATTGTGTAAGTTTCATCTTTTGTGTGGGTAGGTGAATAGTCAGTCAGCCTAAACGTAGAACTTGGCACGTACGTACATCGGTTCAAGCCACCATACCACATTAGCGCAGTGAGAAGGAATTATCAGTTCAATCCTGTTGTAGCAGAGGTTACAGCAGCATTAGCGGTAATGCAAGAGATTAGGATTCGAAGAAAATATCCAGGAAGTATAATTCAGGGAATAAACTTAAAGACGGGAAGATAGAGGTGACGAGAAATTGAGAAGATTAGAATTTGCGAGAAGACAAGGAGTGGATGTACTTGCATCATTGCAAATGATTTTGAGCTATGTTATTCAAAGTATCTAACCATCGGTTTCTGCTGTCTCGCGGACCCCAACCAGTTAGTCTACATTTACCTACATGGCTCAGACCACTTGTCAGTGACTTCATGGATTCCTGCCATGTTTTGGTCTGGCCGCCCCTAGCTTTCTTCCAACCTACTCCTACACCACAAAACTGCTTGTCTAAACAGTCGATTGTTGGGCTTAAACACTATATTTGTTGAACTGATTCGTGTGTGATTTTCACCAGATGACTTTTGTCATTATAGACTGGGAAAATCACTGATTGAGACCAGTTAGATGGGATTACGTCCACCAGGTTCTAGCTAAGAATTCAGTCAAAAGAACTGCTGAAGTTGGGCCAACACCCGTAAAAATCTCAGGGCTTAATCTATCAGGACCTTAAGCTCTTCCTTGTCTTTGATTTCTTACAGCTTTTTCCAATCTTATTAGAAGTTGGTAAGCTTACACTGATTTCATATTCAGATTGTTTAGAAATGGTTGCTAGTTGATGAGTCGCTGGAGAGCAGTTGAACTGTTCCCTGAAATACTCTGCCTACTGACCCATTATCCTGGATTGAGAGTGAATAAAAGTCTCGATTTTTTTCAAATTTCGCTAACGGTCGGATTTCTAATACCAGTTTTCTTGATAAATCTGAATAGTTGTCTACTTTTACCCATTAAAACTGCCTTTTCCATTACTTTTGCTTACGCTAATCATCAGAGTTCACGATCATTGCATAGGATTCCTATCAACATGCGCCTAAGTTTCCTCCGCGTCTCATCGTGTTTAGAGCCAGGCGGAATGATTTTCCGAGCATTTCTCAGTTCAATAAAGTCCATTGAAACTCTTTAATTTTTCCTAAACTTTTGGTTTAACTTACTGGCAGACATCACTGCCGTTTTCGAAGCTTTTCGGATATTTCCCAAAATGCCTCGCAGCAGACATCATTTACATTGTTTTCAAACTGTTTTTATAGTTGCTCCTGAAATATACTCTTGACTTTTTTATAATTAGAAAGAAGTCCAAGGGGTTTCCGTGCTATCTCGATAAGCCTCAGACATATATGTGCTCGTACTAATGCCTGATCTTAGTTTAAATATATTATTCCAGAATGAACGACAGACTTCTATCGTGCCTCTTCATCGGTGAGTGATGGTAATTCGGTTCATTTGATTCGATTTTGGGGATCGCCATGTGAAAAGATGTTTATCCTTATACTTAAAGTTGATGTTTACAGACTTAAACGGTTGTCTGAGTATAGCTGCACCAAATAGTCACCACTTTCTCTTCGATTAAGTGCTTAAGGGCGGTTGCGTGCTGCCTTTGTATGGGAAGTTTTTGAAGCGCAGCTGCAGATGCCACTTGTCTGAGGGAAACATCTTACACCTATCTACAGTCAGAAGTTTGACTTCTCCCTCAGTCCTTAAGTTTCTGCTTACAGTCTCCAATCCATCTGTCTGACATAGCAGAACATAAAGGAACGTGTTCCAGCTAACTTAGCTCGGTTGGGTTATTATGGTAGGCAAGCAAAATCCTTACGTCAAGGTAATAGCTACAGTTGGGTTAGTGAATAGTTGAAGACACTTGATCTGTACATCATATTTATTTGTACTAATTATTAATAGGTTGCACTCTGAAAGAAAGTCATGGATTTTTAAGAGACAAACTAGCTTTCCAGTCAAAATAACATACACTTAATTAAATCTGTGCAAGTTCCTTGTCATAACTGATAAATCCTCAGTTGATTTGGGTGATGTTCTGTTCCCAAATGATTGTTTATTTTTAGTCATTACAATTAACCTTTCTATTATAATGTATACATCAAGTAAAATCTATTAAAATCCTCCGGATTTCATTAAAATACTTCTTTAGACAGTAACTGAATATTTTGTAAATCTATTTTTACATTAGTCTGACCTGTTTGTATTTTACAAATTAGTTTACTTTTCATATTATAGTACAAAACACTTCAAAAAATATTCCGTTTCTCGACTGAGAGGATGAGGCATTTGACATTTAAACACCTAATCTTGAGTTAAAATTTATTCGCCGTATTTCATTTTAAATACAGTTTTATTGTTTATTATAATACAATAGATATGTTGTTTACAATAAATATATGATGCAACATTTTCTTATTATTTAGCACCTCAACCATCATCAATGGCTTCTATAGATCAAATGAATTTCATGACTACAAATAACACAAGCGCAACTTATTCTGGTTACCATCATCAGATGCCGAATTCACAATCAGATTTTAGTCATTTATTTCATTCAAATATGACATATCCTTCTTTATTAATTACACCATCAACATCGAATCCAGCATCTCCTATCTTTCCACCTCTACCGGTTAATACAAATCCTGGAAATATTTTCGTCTCTTCCAGTCACACAATTAACCCTACTGTTTCTGGTGTTTATCCTGCTGCTGCTGCCGCTGCCGCCGCCGTAGCTGCTGCTTCTTTTCAATCACTGTCGTCATCAGTTTATGATCAATTTTATTCAGCAATTTCATCGAGTAATTTAACATCTGGTACTAATAATAACAACGCAAATGTACATCAACATCTTAATAATGATTATAGCTCTCATTATAATACACAACATACAGAAGATTCAATCCAGAATGAATCGATTACTTCATCTTATCGCAATTCTAGCTTAACTGGTTATCCTGAGATTACGCAAACAACATATCCATTAATGTCTACTCATTTATTTAATCAACATTGTCCGACTTCTTTATTCCCTACTTCATCTTATGATACTGAGTAAGTAGAATGTTTCAGTTTACTCATTTGTCAACCAAGTTTTGCAAAGTTCTTTGGGGTAATTAATTTAGGTTTCCAATTTTCTATGAATAGAAAGACGTTCAGTCGAAATATTGTTATAGTCCATAAAAGATCCTTAAGTTTATTAATGCTTAGGAAAGACATTTAGACTCAGTAAGGTTTTTGAAGTGTGTTTATCAGTGACTGGATATTCATGTCATTGTAAAATGTTCAATGTCTGTCTTATCTCTTGATAGATTGGTAAGACATATTGTAATTTAAATCCAGAAATACATCAAACTACACATTCATTTCAAGTTTGATCTAACAGTGGATCTAGGGATGGAAGACTGGCTCAGCATATTTTCAAACGTTTTAGTGAAGCTAGACGAAGGAAATGTCGTTTAAGTACTACAGTGATTTTTGAAATGTTTTAAACGAATGCAATAGGCCATACTCATAAGAGATAAGTGATAAAAATTTGAAACAATCTCAATTAGACAACGTTATTAAGAAATCAATAATCACAACGGTTTCTATTCAATCTAATCAATCAAGTCCCAACTCAAGTGAAATTCCCGACCGAAGCTGCTACCTTGACGTAGTGGTCGTGCTTGCCTATCCTGATGACCCAACCGAGCTATACTGGCTGGAACTTATGTTCCTGAAAGTTCTACCACGCCAGGCAGGTCGATTGGAGAACAATGAGACTAAAAGCAGCTACCCAAGGTCTGAGGGCGAAGTCGTACTGCTGACTGTGATGGAGGGGTGTGACAGCAGTAAGTTGTTTCCTTCGGACAACCAGCATCTGCAGCGATGCCGCCTTCCCACAAGGAAGGGAGGGTTAGAAAAGGTCGACCCTAAAAACGTCACACCTCACTCTTCCTCACGGATATCCGTCTCCGTCGGTAAGGGTGGCCACTAAAAGCCTTTAAAAGCGGAGCTAATACTCAAAAATCCTTTCATAAAAAGGCCGTGCGTGACCGGCCTCACGGCCCCAGGTCTCGGAGACCAACACTAATCTATCATCCGTTTCAGGTACCTCAAGAAACAACCTTCCACGGTGTGGGCAGCCAGGAATTGACAACTGCCCTCATACCCGTAACAGGACGCGAGACCGAATTGGTCAAAATAAAATCCTTCCTACACCCCTTAGTACCTCTCTTATCTCCACGACTATCTCTCCTCACATTCCTTCATCACAGTCCACTGCTAATGCAAACGATGAGAGTTCACGGAACGTCATTTCTGGTCTCCTGAAACCCCGCTCTAGACTACATGTTGGAGCATTTAATGTACGGACATTGTGTCGAATAGGGCAACAGGCTTCCTTAGCTAGGACTTTAGAATCTCTCTCAACCGATGTGTGCTGCGTCTCGGAAACGCGCATACACAGGATCCGAGTAGCATCATTCACTTGACCTCACCATGTCAAGATAAAGAAACAACTCGATTTACCCTTCGTGTATCCGGTAGCCCTGATGCTGTTTCGCGGGGTCTCACTGGTGTTGGTATAGCATTGAGTCGTAGGGCAGAACTAGCGCTCCTAGACTGGATCCATGTAGATAGTCGCTTGTGCGCTGTCCGACTAAACGGGACAGTAAGGACTCGGAAAGATAGGGACACCCACCGTTGCCTCTTCGTCGTATCTGCCTATGCCCCCACTGACTGCAGTTCAGATGAGGTCAAAGATGAGTTTTACACAAAACTTTCGGGGTTCGATAGAAGACTGTCGCTCGTTCTGGGGCACATGTTTAGATTCAGATCATGCCGTAGTGCGAGCGCGTATTTGTTTGCAGCTTACTGGACGTAGGAAAGACACCGTAAGGAAGCCTCTTAGGGCTTTACTTAATGATAATCAAGCTAAGAAAATATTTCAGGAGGAACTAGAAAAACAGTTAAGCGACCACGCAAGTGATTCCCATCCGGAGGCAGGTTGGAACGATATCAAAAAGGCTGTGGAAACAGCAGTGATATCTGCTAGTAAGGTTGACCATAAGGTTGGGGTGAAGCCGTGAGTCTCAGTAGCATCCACCGACCTGATGGATTCCCTAAAGCTCATCCCACCTGGCTCTGAACATGATGAAGAGCGTAGTCAGCTTAGGCGCATACTGATAAAAAGCCTACCTTGAACAGTGATGGGTGGCGAAAGCGAAAGCGATGGAAAAGGCAGCGGCGGTCGGCAACAGTAGACGACTTTTCCAACTTATCAAGGAAACTGGTACTAGAAATCCTAGTGTAAGTGAGACTATCTCGGAAAATGATGGGACTATTATTTATTCTCAATCCATGAGACTGGATCGATGGGCAGAACACTTTAGGGACCAGTTCAACTGGTCTTCAGCCACACTTCCGTTGCCTACGATCCCCAGTCATTCTGACTGGCAAATCGATTTAAGTCCTCCCAGTCTACTTGAAGTTGGGAAAGCTATAGGAAATCTGAAGAGAGGTAGAGCAGCAGGTCCTGATATTCTGACTCCTGAGATATTTAAGGATGGTGGTCCAGTTTTAGCAACTAGGTTGACCGAGATCTTAGGTAGAATCTGGGAACTGGACGTAATCCCAGCTGACTGGTCTCAGTCGCTAATTGTCCCAATCTACAAGAAAGGACAAAAGTCCTCCTGTGACAATCACAGGGGAATAAGTACAACTAATATAGTTTCTAAGTTGTTAGCCTCCATCATACTTAGACGTCTAACTAGAGCTCGTGAAGAGCAGACTAGTGAAAACCAGGCTTGTTTTCGACCTGGACGTGGTTGTATAGACCACATCTTCACACTACGACAGGTCCTGGAACACAGACACACATTTAGACGTTCGACAATAGTCGTGTTCCTGGACCTAAAAGCGGCACTTGACTCAGTGGATCGTGAGGTTCTGTGGCAGTGTCTGTCATTGAAAGGTGTACCAAAGAAGTACATTAACCTCATACAAGCTCTCTACTCGAACACCAATGGTCGAGTGAGAGCTTATGGCGAACTGTCTTTGGAACTTGCCTTGTATATGAACGGAAAAGTGAGCTAAAGTACTGTACACAAATGTGTACTGACGATGTAAGTCGTTATCGATAACTTCACCCATCTCGTCTTCTGTCTAGTTTCAGATCTCAAATTTCACAAATAATTGTATTCATTGGTTTTTGACCCAATTTTTGCTTCAACAGCTTATTGCTTTTCTTAATGCTTTAGAGATAAGAGTGTGAATAAGATTTCAGAGACTATATTCTATGATTTCTGCTCATTGAAGGCAGCTTTTTATGTGATTAATGAAGTACTTTGATATTTTGTTCGTTTTGTTTTGCAATAGCCTAGCATTTAAAAACATTCATTAAGCATTTATACATTCAATATAAAAAAATGAATTAATTTGTGAACTAGCCAAATTACTGTATCAAATTTATGCGCATATACATTCTGAAGTTATATGGTTTATTTTTAGCTTTACAGTAGTGCATAAACAACAAAATTAGTCAGTTCGTTTGTATTTCAGGTTTTGTGAATGTAATGTTTTGTTCTTGTTTCAGTGAATTATGTTCATGACTAATTCAGTCATATTAGATATTATACACGAAAAATTATTCAATAAATTTAGCATATATGTAGTGTGAGAAAAATTGATTTTAGTCAATAAGTAGTCCGGTTATTAGTTGTGTGCATATGTATGTTCTGAAGCTTATTCATCTTAGTAATCCAATTGGGCTGGGCATCATATTTTATAAATTTGTTAACTGTTTAGATATATCAATACAGAAAATAAAATAATGGACAGAATAAGTAGCATAAGAGATTGCTCACTTCCGACTATGCACATAATTTCTAAGTGTAGCAGCTTAAACTTACATATACATGTGGTAATTTTAATAGGAAATCAACCAAGCACATTACCGTCCGTCCATTTTCAGGACGTGGTACAATAAGATAAATTTATGAAAAGGATCAGTTCGTGACATTAACTGTGAAAATTGTACAATCTCTGCAAAAACCTAGTCTGTTAGTAATCACATGTTCATTGGTGACTAACTTCAAGATGTAATTCCTGGAATTCTAGTCTGAAGCTATGTTCGGTGAATTTCAACCATGTTGGGTGTGAGATAATTATTGATCTCAGAAAATGGAAGATGGCCACGGAATATCGTGAATTGATTAAAGTTAGACATGCACATCCATGGATACCCCAGTTCAATGATCTAGGAGTTAAACGTTTGTGCATGACACTGAATATCTCGGGTTTGATTCCTGGTGTTCGGGTTGTGAACTGGCACTGTTGAAAAGACTCACACTAGGATAAAACGGATGGTCAGCAGTTCATGGTTTTCGATGTCTGGTCTACCTAAAATCAGTATATGATTTAAAATATAGAGAGGAAAACTAACGTATTTCAATATTTTACAACACAATATGGATATTATTTAATGGTAGAACAATCTAGGAACTCATGTCTTAATGGCATTGTCATCTCTTATTCTTCATTAACAGATAAGTGTTAATGTACTCAATGTTATAAAAGCTTAATCTGTTCACTTAGTTACTTTATCCGATGGAGCATAGGCCGCCGACCAGTATTCTCCAACCTACTTCGTCCTCGGCTTCCCTTCCTGATTTCTTGCTCTCTCTCGCACAGTAGGCTACTGCTTATGGTGTCTGGCCAACGAATGAATACTTGAATCTTGTGGATGATTGCTTTCGTAGTTCTCCAAGTTCCTGCTCCATACAGTAAAATTGTCTTGACATTTGGATTGAAAATCCTGATTTTGGTTTTGGTTGAAAGTTGTTTGGAGTTCCATATATTTTTCAACTGTAGAAATGCAGCCCTTGCTTTGCCAATCCGCGTCCTCACATCTGCATCGGATTCACCTTGATTGTCGATGACACTGCCCAGATATGTAAACGTGTTAATGTCCTCCAAGGCATCTCCATCAAGAGGGATTTTGTTGGCGCATGTTATGTAGTACCAGAGAATCTTGTTTTTCTCTTTATGTTTGTTGAGACCTTTTGCATCTGAGGTTGCTACTACACTGGTCATCTTCTCTTGCATTTGTTGTTTCGTGTGCGATAAATGAGCCAGGTCATCCGCGAAGTCCAGATCGTCCAGCTGCATCCTGGCTGTCCACTGTACCCCGTGCTTCTCATGAGATGTAGCCATCTTCATAATCCAGTCGACCGCCGGGAGAAAGAGAAAGGGTAAGAGTAAGCAGCCTTGCCTGACACAGGTCTTCACATCCAACGAGTCTGTCAGCTGTCCTTCATGTACGATTTTGTTACAATTTGGTCAATACCACGATCGATCCTTACGAAATCCGGCCTGTTGATCTCGAAGTTGGGCGTCTACGAAGTCCTTCATTCTGTTTAGCAACACCCTGTTGAAGACTTTGCCTGGTATTGAAAGAAGAGTGATGCCTCTGTAGTTCTCACACTAGCTGAGATCGTCTTTCTTTGGTACTTTGATCAAGTATCCTTCTTTCCAATCTGATGGTACTTGTTCCTCATCCCAAATCTTCTTGAAGAGGATGTGAAAGATTTTTGCAGTTGCTTCCACATCTGCTTTCATTGCCTCTGCTGGAATGTTGTCTGGTCCTGCTGCTTTGCCGTTCTTCATTTGTCTGATGGCCATGCTGATCTCTTCGAATGTTGATGGGCCAACATCGATTAGGAGGTCCGTGGATGCTGCTTCGATGTTGGGTGTGTGCAGTGGAGCTGTTTGATTCAATAGTTCCTTAAAGTGCTCTACCCACCTATTTCGCTGTTCTTCAGTGTTGCTGATTACTTTGCCTTCCTTACTTTTCACTGGCCGTTCTGGTTTACGATAGTTTCCGGCGAGCCTCTTTGTTGTTTCGTACAATTGTCTTAAGTTTCCTTCTCTTGCAGCCTTTTCCACCGTCATTGCTAGATCTTCCACATATTTTCGTTTGTCAGCTCTCATGCTCTTCTTCACTTCCCTGTTTGCTTCTGTGTATGCAGCTTGTGCGGTAAATTTCTCTGCTCTTGTTCGTCTGACATTGATTGCTGCCTTCTTGTTCCTCCTTTGTTCAATTTTTGCAAGAGTATCAACAGAGATCCATTCCTTGTGATGGTACTTCTTGTGACCCAGAACTTCGTGACATGTTGAAGTGATTGCCTCCTTAATCCCTTTCCAATTGTTCTCCAATGTTGCGTCCTCTCCATTGAGTATATCGTGCAAGGCCTGGAACCTATTGATGAGGGCTATCCTGAATTCGTTCAGCTTTACAGTATCCCGAAGAAAGGCTGTATTAAACGTGTGTGATATTGTCTGCTCCGTTGTCCAGTGCTTCTTTAGTTTCAGTTTCATTTTCGCGATCGGCAAGTGGTGATATGAGGCTATGTCAGCTCCTCTCTTGGTTCTCACATCCTCCATGGTCCTTCTGAACGTTTTGTTGATACAGATATGGTCAATTTGGTTCTGAGTAATGTGATCCTGTGAAATCCATGTGGCTTAGTGTATGTACTTGTCCACCGCCGATGACCAGTTTGTTGAAGGAACATAGGTTTGCAAATCTCTCACCGTTTTCGTTCCTTTCTCCCAGTCCATGTCATCCCATGATGTCTTCATATCCAGTGTTGTTCATGCCAACCTAGGCATTCAGGTCTCCCATAAGAATCGTCAGATCCTCCAGACGGTTGACTGCAGTCTCTCGAAGGACTGATCTTTAACGTCTCCATTGTGGTTGTTGATAGGTGCATTACATTGGATGACGCTCATCGTAATGCCATCAGCCACCGATGGAGGCGCTCGATAGAGGACTGTCACTTGCTCTGGGGCATATGTTTATATTGAGATCATGCTCTAGTGCGAGCGCATATTTGTTTGTGACTTACTGGACGTAGGAAAGACACTGCAATGAAACATATTACGGTTATGGTTAATGATAGCAAAAATAAGAATGTATTTCAGGAACAACTAGAAAAACTGTCAGGTATCCATGCAAAAAATATTCACCCCGAGGCAGCTTGAAACGGTATTCAAAAATCTGTGGAAACAGCAGTAATAACCGCTAGTAAGGTAAACCATAAGGTTAGAGAGAAACAGTGGATATCAGTAGCATCCACCGAACTGATAGATACAAATTCGCTGCTAGAATTGAACTGACGATTCCATCTCTCTGCGCTATTGTGGTATGGCAACTTGAACTGATGTACGTATGTACCAAGTTCTAAGTTTAGGCTGACTGACTGACTGTTTATTTAATATGGTTTTTGGAAGGCAGTACGTTTTTGCTGAGATCATGAACTGATTGAAAACCGTCGCAAACCTGAAGTACTGGATGATTGTTTCGTTCTAGTATGGGATTTTTTGACACTCCTAATTAATGATACAGCAATCAAAAATTGGTCAGTTTCTGATTTCCATGTAATTCAAAAAACTATACAACCTCATGTTGAAAATAGTTTATTACCTAATACTCAGCCAGATATTGTCTACAACAGATCTCTTCAATTATAGCAGAGGAATCAAATTATTGAAGTTTAACCGGCGAAATCTATTACATAATAATACATATTTGTGTATAGTATCATCAAATCACCTTGATACTTCGCTATTACAGAAGTAATATCTCGTAATTATGACTGACTAGTATTTAAGAGTAAAACATTTTCCGTATAAAATCCAGTTTGCATCGTAATGTTTTAAAACTTAATAGTCTGTATAAGTCTATTAACATAAACTGAAGCTTATCATTACAATAAATAATTATCGGTCAATAATTTATTTTAATTTTTAGTCATAAACTAGAAAATCAGTCTATTTCTGACAGATTATTATCTGATCAACAATTGTCTAAAATGATGGAAAAAGAAAAACAAGTGCTTCAGCAACAAGATCGAGGTGACAATTCAAATCACATTGATTTTTTCAATAGACGAGTTCAACCTACAGGAAATTTAGTAAACCATTTACCACCTCAAGATAATCATTTCGCTCCAAGATCATCATTATCATCTGAATCATCATCGTCGTCATCATCATCATCAACTTCAGAGATTTATATGAATTCTTCTTTACAACAAATCGACAAAAGTACTGACGAACACAGCACTTGTAAACAACTTTCTAGTGATTTCACTCAATTCAGTAAAACATTTCAATTGAGTACCTGTGAGTCAAGCAATAATAATCCACTTAGTTTAACATCATTAAAAGAATTTCAACTTGATGAAAGCAGATTATTCAATCTTTCTAATCATTTACTTATAAACAATAACAATTATCAATCTACTATCAAAAACTCTATTAACAATGGTACTATCAATAGTACTACCGCTACCACAAATGCTAGCAAATTATCTAGAGAATCATTGAACCCATTAAATATGCCAATATTTGATGAAAATTATGGTCAAATTAATAGGAATAGAATAGATCCAAACGAAACTATCGATATTTTACCGTCGAGAACATCGTTGCAGCCTAAAACTGAAGAGAATTTTCCACCAAGCTCTTCGTCATCAACATTATTATTATCTAATCGATTGAAAGAAAACGATTATTCAACTATGGCTACCACTGGAAACAGTAGTAGCATGAGTGATTGTGGCGGTGGTGGTAGTGGTGGTGTTGTTGGTCCCATAAATACAGGTTGCTGTGAATCATTGAGTATATTGACAAGGGATATGATGAGAGCCTATTTAGTTGATCGACGTGATCAAGTTCTAATCATCCTCCATGCAAAAGTTGCTCAAAAATCATATGGAACGGAAAAACGGTAAGTAATTTACGCCCTTCTCTCCTTCTTTTGTACTTTTAGGAAAAAGTCAAAGATTTATTGTATGCAGTATGTTCAGGTAGGAAACAAACTTTATTCATTCGGAGAAAAAAATTATATTGCTACCTTTGAATCAGTATCAGTTGACAAAATAAAATTTATTGAACTAATCTCATCAAATGATTTCATTCAGAAACTATTTAAAATAAAAAAACAAAATAATTGTATCAGAAAGTTAACGATTCATAATTTTGTAGTTGAGTTCTTTACTCATGAATTAGGGTTGTTAACTTTACATTCAATCTCTGTCTTCTATCCGTAAGAAGGCTCCAGCTGCAGTACGTTAAAAGTTATTAATATGGTCAACAAATGTCAGTCATTTGATGAAATCGAGCTCATTATCTGATTTTTGTGTGAATGATACAGATATCTAATACATAGAAAAATAGATTATTTTCTTTTATTTTGAGGGATCACAATAAACATATTATAAAACTACAATAATAATTACAATTAATAATTGTGTTACTTTGATATTACTGCTACTGTATTTAATGTTTCTACTATAATGGTAGATAGCATCTATATTTTTGAAACCATTAGATTGCCTAATCCATACTAAGCAGTTGTAAAGCTTCTTACTGTTAATTTTCAACTAGTTTCTATTATATGTTTTTCAGTTAAGTTGCGTAAAAATGTATACGGAACCTATTTAGTATTCAGTATACAATTTATTGATCAATAAATAGTAAATAATGTATATTATCAAGTTCTTTTCGGTGCTCGTGAAGTTCTACAGATAGGGGAGTTACAATGAGACCATTAGTTCAAATGATTAGAAATCATGTGTACTACGTTTAAATATCGAGTGGCTGAAGGTCGTGGACAAGAAAACTTTATGAATTTAGGTTTGATGCTATTTGCTGCAAGTCGACAAGGCATATCTGTAATCTTGAAGAAACTTATGCTTCCTGGTAGATATGCACCCACTTCGCGTTACCACTTTTTTCATTTAAATACTGTATGAACTCAAGTATTTTTAGTTTTTATTTTCAAAATCTTTTTGGATCATCGATCATATTTTTATTGTGAAGAGTAATCACGTGATTTAAATTATCAAATGTGTATATTCATTTTATACATGTTAATGACAGTGATGTTCCCAAATGTGTGGATACATTGATATTGATATTTCAAAATTGCAAACTTCATATAATTAGAAAAACATGGTCATTTTTTTAACGTCGTTAATCGTCAACTAATTGTTCCTTTTACCATTAACTTTAGATGATGCATTGTTGTTTTTCATCAAAACAAATGATAATTACTTAAGCTAAACAAGTTTGAACAGGGAATACATATTTTAATAATTTTGAATAAAATCTAATTCATGTTGTATTTCATTTCTCAATTCTTTTTAATTCAAAACATTGAAGCCAATAAAACCTATGAAAATTATTTTAAAAAGCATACAATGTTCTGTGTTTTAAGTTTTATTTCACTTGTATTACACAACACAGTGGCTATCTGGACTCAGTAGGTAAATGTATAACATCAGCCTTTGAAGTAAAGGTGACGATTTCGAGTTATTGGAATGAACATCAACTCTGGGATGCAGAAACACTCAGCTGACGAGCCACAAGTAGCGTAAAATGCGCATCCTGGATTCCACTCTTTGTCACTATCCATTTCTGACAATAATATCTATTTTATTTCTCCCGATCAATATTATTACCCTCTTACGAATTATAGTTAGTGAAATACATATTCTTCTTAAAGAAATGAACTTAGGCTTCGTTGATGAGTCACTTTTAAGATGTTTCTTCAGTTATTTTCATTAGTATAGAGATTTATGGAGATTGAAAACTTGATGATGATTCTAGTCAGATAAACGTTGAAAATCAAAAAGCGCCAAACTGTGGTTTCGTCTTGATCTGAGATTCCTTAGCAAGGTGCAGCCAAAATGTCACCGAGACTTGAACCCAGTGCTGTAAGGTCTACCAACTAGCCAGCATCCAATGGGTTATATGTCTATCTTCAATCAACATTATGCAGCCATTTCCCTTTACTGTCGGTTGGTAATCACCTCAACGGTCTCATAGTTAATAAGTTTGCGAGACTTGAAAATCCTACGTTCGATCTCCAGTTGAATCATCACTATGCACTACTCAGGAGTCTCATACTAGAATGTAACTACAGTCTAATTCTTCCTGGTCTTCATATATTTTTTATTACTAAAATTTTTATCTTCTTCTTAAGGTGAAATTACGAAATATTTGCATATATTGTTGACTATTTGTTCTCTCTTTTTTGTCTTATCCTATTAAATGTTGTATAATCCACACACATACAAACACACAAAGAGCTTTTTTAATCATATATTGTAAACAATTAAATAGTTGAATACATTATAGTTGTGTATAAAACATATTTACTTCATATAAACAGAGACACATTATTTATCATATTTCAAAGACTTGATATTATAGAAATTTGTAAAAATAAAGGATAGTATTTTTTAAGTATGGAATAATATTTTTTTCCATTGCGCAAATAAATTTATTCAGATTTAATCAACACTAGTTTGCCGAATAATTTATTAAGGTGAATATTTATTTAAACAACAACAACAACAAAAAAAGAAAGGTAATTCTAAGTGGTAAGGTGAATAGAAATATTTCTATTTATAAAAAAAGAGAATTTGTATTCTTTCCAATTTATCAACTGATCATAGTTTTTGATAAAAGATTTCCCAATATTTGACACAACTATTAGTTTATTATGAATAGAAACTATGCGAATTAGTCTCCCTTCTTGGTTTTCTTTTCTTGTTATCAAGAAATTTAAAAAAAAACAACTTTCTTTTAATAGTATACCATGAAGAATACTTAGATCAAATACAAAAAGAAATTATTTCTTGTATATTTTCCATCCATCCTACCGCGTTTATGCCCCCATGCAGAGTTTGTGTTTTTATTACATATATCTATATACATATAACAGCTAGTTAGAATAATGATAGAAGAGAACCAAAGGAGAGTATACAAAATTGTTAAAGTAAAGCGGTATCTCAGCAGGTTACCTTCAGTATGGATAATATTTTTATCACATAAAAAACAGTGTAATCGTTTTTGGTACTTCATTGAATAATATTGGGATTATTTTTTTTATTTTCAAACAATGAAAAGACTAGAGAATTCTTGTTAGATCATTTTCAAACGCAAATCTATATATACGGTTTATTTTTCTTCTGAAAATTCACTTTTTTTTCGAATTCTAATCATTTAATCAACCTGTTTCGTTCTGATGAAAAGTTTTTTCTATTTTTTGAGTTATTTATATATTTTATTTCATCAAAGCTATAAAATGATCGATTGTGTAACATTTTGAGAAATGGATTCAAATACCACGAGAAAGTGATATATTGAACAAAAAAAAAAGTAATTTCCCAGACTCAAATATCAGCGAATTGAATATACATTAGGTGTGATATAGATCAAAATCAGTCACCATCATGCGGATACGTTGCGAGTGCCTATTTTCATTTCATTTTGATTTAATGTTCCAATATTCTTTTATTCCTACTTTCCTATTCCATTTTCAAATCATAGATCTAACTCAAGTTCATTATTTCCTTTGTATTATCAATGCTTCCGAATTATTTTCTATTACTTTGTCATTCATATATTTTTTAAAAAATTTCATCTCGTCATAAGAATTATAGTCTTGGAATTCTAAGCCAATTCACCTTATTGATCTGATTGATTTTTGTCATTACTAACTGACTTATCATCTACTAGTTCACACTATTGATGAGTAATTTCTCCGAAACTACTTATATGTTAAGTAGAAATGAACTGAATTAGTGAATGAGCAAATTATATTATCTTCTTTATTTCAAAGAAAAGATGATAATACTAGGATCGATAATATTTTATAAGTCAATGATGAAATTCACAAGTTTTTAAAATCGAATGAACATTTTATAGTGTTTTGCATCATTAGAACTTTGACTTGTTCGGATACTTTACAAACATATAAGTTTAACATAAGCAATTCTTCTAAAAGTAAGTCATGTCACTTGATTGAATTATTAAGTCGTATATTATTCTCAGCTGAATTTATCAACGTGTTTTTCTCTACAATCATTCATTCTATCAAAGTTGTATGTATGATCAGTGAAACTGAATTCAGCATTGTTGTTAAACTGTTTATATCCAACAGGTCATTACTTATTGCTAGATTAATACTAGTAGTAGATGGCAGTATATTAGGCATTTACAATATTTTAAATTGACGTCTTATTTGATTTCACTACCTTTAAATTGGTCTGTTCCACCGAAATTGAAAACTATGCTTTGATATTGTTTTTATTTCATAGCGTAAATAAAAATAAACTAAACTTTTACTACGATATGGTAAAGATTTGTTATTCAGATGGATGATTTTGATAGAATTTCGTTGTCTAATCTAAATGATTTGATGGTGGAGCTTTTATTGTCCGTCAGCATAAACCTATAGTACTTCATATCTACTTGAAATCTGTGCTGATGCTGTTGTTCAAACGAACAATCAAATCTCCATGACTAAACTTTCTAGCTGACAGTACGAAATGTCACTAAAAAAAGACAAAAACCTTTGCTCTATTCACTTTGGCCAAATTTGACTACGTTGTCTCAATAAATAATTTCAGTGAAATAAACAATTCAACAATGCATGCATAGTTATTCTGTATTAAATTTAATAATATTATCGGAATCTCATGATCGTAACATCTTAAAAGTGTTTCATTTATTTTTATAGTTGAATTCTTACTTATTTTGATTATATATGACAATAATCTATTATTTTTCCAAATATCAGTTATTTTAAAACCATGAGTTTAGGATTAAAAATTAAAATAATTTGATGTCTGTTAATATAACTTGCCTTAAATACAAAAATGTATATGTAACTGTTTGAAATTAAATATTACATTCTATTTGTTGACTGGAAATTGC